GTGTCCTGTCACAGCGGAACCTGCGGTCACCAGTGGGTTGGGCTGTGTGGGCGATGTCCCTGTCACAGCAGAAGAGCGTATGGTCACCAGTGGGTTAGGCTGTGTAGACAATTTCCCTGTCACAGTGGAGCATGTTGTCACCTGCACGAGACGTGGATTTGCTCTCCCTCGGGGCCAGCAGGAAGCTGTGATCCACGTCCTGCTGTCTAGACAACTCTGAGGACAGTGCTGGTCAGTCTCTGGTTTCAAGGCCCTTCTATAGGGAGGATGTATCAGGTGTGGGGAACCTCAGTGCCCAGAGGACCGGGGGCAGGGTGTAAAGTGATTTGTAGTCCTTATTAGAATTGCTGTGAATGAACTGTGAGTGCTCGGCTACAGTTAAGCTAATTACTTTTCCTTTGTCTGTTTTCTTCTTCCCACATTCTTGTTTCTGTGTGTGTCTCCCTCTTTGGTTCTGTAGTATAAGTCTGTGTTTAGGTCCTACTCCCAGGATTTCGTGCCTCACCACCAAGCTTCCACTCAGCCTTTCCTTCCGCCTACCTCCTCCTCTTCTCCACATTTCCCACCTGTCCACCAGTCTCAGAGCTCTGACTTAGCGGTGCCAACTGTGGCCAGTCTGCCTCCCAGCACCGTGGACGGGCCTCTCTCATCCTCTCAGGAGAGCAGCTTTCATGGGAATGCTGTCTGCCTTCCTCCCGAAAACTCTTTCACTGACTCGGTGAGAACTCAACACACATGTCTGCACGTGGGGCTGCACGTTTTTTAGAAAGCAGTGTCACTGTTCCTGAAAGGCACTGCCTGCTCTTCCCTAGCAGTCAGGGTGTGTGCGTGTACACCCCTTAGCAACACGGCTACACCGACTGCTGTGGAAGGCCACAAGGTACAATTGTAGCCCACCTGTTTCCAGAACAGAAATTGAACCTTTTCTACAGAGTTTCTCAGGCTTGGAATCTGATTCTGCACAAATAGATTATTGACCATTTAGAAACGGGAAGTTATTGTGTGCATAAGATAGTGTTACTAGCTTTCCACGCGGCTGTTTTTAGAGAAAGTACAGACTCTGAGGTGTGGAAGTGGCAGAGATTCATTCACTCGTGTGTAGTGCTGAGGACAGAGGGCCTGTTTTCTGGTCCTGTTAAATTGCCTGTGGTGCTTCGTCTAAAGCCAGGGAGGTGCTGCCTGCGGGTCGGAGTGGGCGAGCAGACATGGCAGAGGCAATGCAGGCAAGTGGGGACGAGTCCCTGGCCTGCTGAGTTGTCTTGATGTCTTGCTACTTTCCTTCCATAATGGTTTCCCACCACACAGGAGACACACTGCCCCCCACCCCCACCCCACAGTTCCCACTGTGGTGGAGCTGACTTTTCAGGATAGTTTGAGTGGCCCTTGACACCTTTGAGAAGATCTAGGGGGAGAGCAGAGTGTAGGTCATCACCTTTTTTCTTTCTTATCAAAGGAGTGTCCTGGTCAGGGCCAGCAGGTGGCTGCCCTCTCTGAGCTGTAAGAGCTGGCTAGAGGGCCTGGCCCATGTGTCTCCCCTCTCACCCTATCTCCCCCAGAGTGAAAACGCCAGTGAGGAAGCTGGTGAGGGTGAATATGTCAGTCTGTCTTCCTCTGGCCAGAGCAGTGAGGAGCTGGCTCCCTCTCGAGGAGTAAGTAACCTCGGGGGCCTCCTGCATGTGGCCTGGCCTGGCCTGGCAGGGGTTGGGCCCTGCGCTTCCGAGGCTGCTTTCCTCCCATCTGCTTCTGTTTGACGGACACTCACCCCAGGGGATCACTGGCCAACTCTGTGGGGGAGGACGGGACTTGTGGGGAGGAGGTCTGCCCGTTTGTTCCTGCTTCGTAGTGTTCCTCAGCACCTGCTCAGATGGGCCTTGTAGAGATACACAGGAGCAGCATGGCGGGACCCTGGCCGCACACCCAGTCGCTCTCTGTGGGGTTTCCTTCTGTCCCATCTTATAGCATCAGGCTCCATCTTCCACCCCCTGCCCCCCACCCAGAAGGCGAGACTGCTCTCCCCTTGGGCTCTTTAGACCTCACCCCTCCTCCCCCAGCATGCTGCGTCACCCGGTGTTAACTAACTGCCTCCCAGGTGGCCCTACTGGCCTGTGCACATCTCCTGAGCTGAGCCGGCACCATCACCCTCAGTAAAGGGACTACAGTTCTGTTGAGCAATCAGCTTTCCAAGTTTTGCGCTTCAAAAATAGGTTTCCTCACGCGCCCAAGTGCGGCAGGTTCCTGAGGGAGGGTCCGTAAGGACTGAGAACTCCCCATTCATCAACCTGAAGGGCAGGGTCCCCTTTAACGGTGGGGTCTCTGTAAGATTATAGATGGCCCCACAGGGCAGGCCCTACCTCAGACATTAGCAAGTCACTGAGCATTAAAGAATTTTCACTCTAGTGAAAAGAGGAGTGTTAGGTTTTGGACAGATGGCTTCCCTGTCTATAGGAGCCAAGCTAATGTCCCCACTTCAGCTGTCCTCTCTGCTGACCTGTGCCTCCAGCACTGTCCAGCTTGACCTCTGCATAGTGGCATCCATTCCCCCAGGAAAAGGCTTTCCACAGCTCTCTCCCTCTATCAGCAGCTGCTTCCAGGGCTGACTCCTCTCTCCTTGAATCACTCTCTGCAACTATGGTCTGTATATTGGTGTCACCTGTCATAACCGTGGTGGCCTTGGTTGTCACTGAGTAGGGTGGGCCCAGAGACCCAGGAGGAAGCAAGTCTGCTAGAGGAGGAGAGGTCACTGACACTTAGGTGTTGGGCAGCTGGGCAGCTGGGCCTGTGGGGCCTGTGCCTGGTAGAGCACAACAGCCCTGAGGGCTTCCTTAAGTCACCAGTTTTGTACATGACAAAAGAGCCCCATGCTGAAAGGCATAGTCTTCCAAAGCAGAGAGCCCTGGGCTTTGATTCTTGATTCAGGCTCCACCATCGACCAGCTATGTGGTCTTGGGCAGGACCCTTGACTTCTAGCCTCAGTTTACATGTGTGGAATGGGGACGGCAGTGGCTCACTGAAAAGGTCAAGTGACAAGCTGTGCACAGGGCCCTGAGCGCGTGCCTGGCTGAGCCCTGGTGGACTGGCTGTGGAGTAGCAGTCCTCTCTCTTAGAAGAGGCAGTTGAGGTGGCAGCTAACAAACGTTACAAATAGTGGCACCTTTCGCTCTCTGCAAAGGCAGGGTGCTAATCTCAAGAGAGCTTGTGTTTCCTGTAATAAACTGCATTCACTATTAACTGGTTCTCATCTCAGATTGTGCTGTACGACCTTGCACTCCCGTGCCCCTTGCAGGCAGGAATGCTGAGGGGAGAGAGCTACCTGGAGAGAGCCACCTGTCTAAAACCCAACACTCACTTCTCTTTTTAGGACTCACCAGCTGGGAAAGATGGACATCCCAGAGATCCCTCAGCAGTCGGCAGTGTACCTGGGAAGGACAGCAGAGATGGCAGTGAGAGGTAGGACGTGAACCAAGAGGGGCTGGGTACTCCAAGAACAGGGTTCTCTCAGCCCTGCCCAAGTGGCCCCCAGCCGGTCAGCTCACCAGGCCCATAGGTGTTCCTGTTGGAGTCTTTCCTCCTTTTTTTCTGATTCTCCAAATAATACTGCTCAGGTTAGAAACTGTTGGAAAGAACAGGAAATTGTAGGAAAGCAGGAAGAACACTAAGCAGCCGAAGGCCTTAGCACATCGTCTCCCCTTGCTCCCCAAGGCCCGCACCTGTGCTTTCTACTTTGTAAGTCACAATAGTCTGACCGATTTGGGTCTCTTTCAGGCTGTGGTGGAGGAGTATGAGAGGCCCCTCCCTGCCCACAGAGGCATTCTGTCAGCATTGCCAGGCATGAGTGCACGCTGTTGCTGAACCACAGGAAGGGGAAGTCTCACGAGCTTGGCGCTCAGCACTCAAATACAG